ATTAACAGAGAAGAAACACAAAACAGTTCAAGTACTGTGATAAGGGTGTATAAAACCTAAGTGTGCCAAAGAAATTAAGCAGGTCCTTTCCTGATTACTCATAGGCCCTCGAAAAATTCTTGCCAGTCTCTGAGGATCTCTTCTCAGGTGCTGAAGTAGCTTTATGGATTTGGCTTTTCAACTCCCTTTAGCTCAGTTCCCTGTCTCCACAGAGGACATAGGTGTTTCAGGGGCTGGGAAACTGCTGGGTGCTTTGGTCATAACTGAATTGTGCTGATGCAGCTGATACTCTGCACCACTGAGGATGCAGAGGACAAAGTGAGCTTCCATTGCACCCCACTGGTGTCCTCCTGGTAGTAGCCCTGAGGGCTGCTAAGCACAGTCACTGGATTCAGCTAGCAAGCCCTTTGTGAGCCACAAAGCAGCAGGGACAGTGCAGAGCTGCAGAGAACTACTGAGTACTAAACGATGCACTTGGCAGTTCTTGGGATCCTCACTCACATTAGTAGCACAAAGAACGTGGAGGTGGAGAGGAAGGTGCACGGCAGCTGCCTGCCCCTCTGCTTCTTCTCCCTCATAGTGAGAGAAATGTGTCAACAACATCTGAAGTCATCATCTCTCAAGGGAGAAAACTGCATCCTTCCCTACCAGCTCCAGTACAGGGACTCATCAGTGAGTCCTTAAACTGACCAAGAACAGGCACAGTCATTAGAACTATTCTGCAGCCTTTTCCTGTGGTATTGCAAGTGCCCCTGCAATACCCAGTGGACACTATTTCTAAATTAAACCCACAACAGTTCTATCAGAAGGATGAACTTCAGGAGCTGTGTTCATTAAAAACTTCCCCCAACATCTGTATTTGAGGACACAGAAGATTCGCTTATCACTTGAAGTGAAGTCACTGGAGCAAGATGTCTCTTTCTAAAAGAGATGTCCTGACATGCGATACTGAGCCCTGAGGCAAGAATTATGTGATGAAATGCCATGACTTCAATAGAAATATTGGGATAGGCAGTAGTTTCCCAGAGTCTCCAAGCACTCTGCCCAGACCCAGCCAGTTAGTTCTGCGTTGGTTTCAGACGGTGGAACGACGGGGGAGAGCCCAGATGCCTTGCAGATGATGAGGCTACTGGGGAAATCCATGCCAGTCCATTCCCTGGCTTGAGGCACTCACAGAGAGAAAACAAACACAACACTTCACCCCCAACCACCCAATTAGCCAAGGAGGGAGCCATGCTACATTCATACCTGAGGAGCATCCAGTCACCCAACCCACAGCCTGGCTAACCATCACACGGGAACAGGAGAGAGTAGGGGATAATGGACAGGGCACAGCCCTAGAAGCAGGGGAGGGTACAGTGTCTAACGCAAGAGTTCAAAGACATATGGACTAGGACATGGAGAAGCAGTCCAACAGCAGGGCTGGGAACAGCTCTGGCCAGAGGAAGAGGAGACAGGGAGATAGTAGGCGCCTGGGAATGGAGGAGGGTGGCATAGGCTGGTCCTCAAAGAGGGAAGAGCCCACAACATCTAGGAGAAAGTATCACGAAGTTATTGTAGTGGTAAAAAGGGCAGACTTTTGCAAGTCAGCGGTGGGCAAGGTAGAGGCTAGTGACCATTTCTATTGCTCAACCAGCCGTGTGCTAAAGGCGTTGCATGCGGTGGAGCTTGGTGGTCACTCCTCTCTCAAAGCTAGATGCTTGCCAGCCTTCAGCTGAAACAATTCTAATTAAAATGGGCTTGATGAAGTACCCATTTCAAGATCTCCTGAGTGCACACCACCTTCCCTTGGGGTCAAAGACAACTTTCCACACTGGACATAAGGCCCCTCCATGCTCCTCCCTGCACACAGGGCAGTTAGTGCTGCTGCCCAGATTAGGCAACTGGGATCATCCCAGGTTTATGTAGAGCTGGCTGTCTCAGCTCCCTCCACTCCTTGGCGTGGCAGAGGGGGTAAAGAAAAAAAACTTAGAACAGGGTCTAGAAAATCTGGCCTGAGATGCTGTTAGTAGCAGAGTAATCAGGGCCTCTGAGGCGTTCTTAGGAAATCCAGAAGAATTAATACACTTTGTGGGAGAAGAATTAAAAAAAATCCAAGTCTGATGCAGGAGTTGGAGAAAACCATTGGGAAAAGTTTTGCAGATCAGCCAAGCATTAGGCAAACCCACTATAACATAGAGGCTCCTTGGAGAAAGAGCCATTAAGGCTGTGACTGTGCCCTTTTTATCCAACGCAAGAGGGGACAGCCTGGCACAGTGCATTTTAGCTTGGCAAGGGAAGAACATCTGGTCCAGCTGGTAAAACAAAGAGGCTCTGGTGAGCTGGAACACCTCTTTCCACGGTGGTGTTCAGTCAGGTCTGCCTTTTCAAGAGAGCACAAAGGGAACCCTCACAGTCACTTGCAGGAAGCCAGGCAAGGAGCAAAGGCCTTTCATCATGTGTTCCCCAGTCCTCCCAGCTCCACCCCACAAGACATTTTCCAGACTTTCCAGTCAGCCCTGAGATGTTGACTGGTGCACCAGCTTCATCAGCTCTCTGGCATGATCTAGTTGCATTCCCTCCCACCTTCAATGAGATAAGAGAGTCGGGAATGTCACACAATGGGTGTTACTACTCAACTCTGGAAACTAAAGCAAACATCAGGATGTTTGCCGCCAGTCCCAAGGAAGACATGGGATGGCTTCTCTATGGGACCAAAACCATGTTTCCTGGTGAAACATTGGCTCCAAAAAGATGCTCCTTTCAGGGTTGTTCTGGGGACAAATGAAGGAGGCTTCATCAGGGAGGGATCAGAGAAGGGAGCACTTGGCAGGGTATTGCATTAACTGAGGTAATTTGTATGCTTCTGATTATCAGAGATGATTCACTTCTGTTCACTTTGCACCAAGTATTGTGAAAGACATTGCATTTATCTGCATTGACTCACTGTTTCACAACATGAGCTTAAGGTATTGTTACTACTATGATGAAGAGAAGGCTTGGACATCCAAAATCCTCACACCAGTTGGGGAAAGACTGCAAAGGATTTTGGTAAAACCATAAAAATCAGGAAACGTGATAAAGAACTCTTCTCCTCTATTAAAGAGATGGTGTGAAAACCTTGAAAATAAAAATTCAGATATTCTGAGACAGCTGTCTGTCAAGAAATCAAGAGGATATTTCTGTCTCTGGAAAGTTTACTTTGACTTTTATCACCACAAGCTGAGTTTTGTTTGTAGATAATCAGACTTAAAAGGAACATACTGTTATTCATTAGTGTATGGAGTCACTTTAAATAAGCTTATGGACAATTATCAATCTCATACATCCTTGTTAGATGGAACACATGGAGATAAAAAGAAAACAAAACAAAAAGGTCAAAGTTTATGGCAGGGACCATTTATACCAGCTGACCTAAAATTACAGCAAAGAACATGCAAAATTTGAGAGGGATACATAGAAGTTAATGGCTGAATTAAAAGCAGCTCTTAAGAAAAGTCACAGCAATGAAGGAAAGGCAGCACAGTTCTCTGCATGTTTGTTATGGTGTTACTTATGAGGCACAATTAAAAATAATGGTTCTCACTGCTCAACCAGCACTGGTATTTACTGTCACTACTGTCAGAAGAGCTCAACACCCATAGAGGAGACAGGGTTTCTAAAGCATTGGCTTCCATTCAAGCATCCAAATTAATAGCCATGTTCAGAGGAGATCTGACTGCATCGGACACTGACTGAAAGAACTTCCCAGCTAAAAGAAGTGTTTCATTGCCAAAATAGCCACATGTTTAAAAAATGAGGAGGGAATGGAGTGGGAGGAAGGGGTACAACTTTACTCAACGAAGCATTGCTCCTCAGACTTCTCCTTCAGCCCTTGCCTTCCTCCTGCCTCAGCAATACACAATGTCTTCTTGGTCAGGGAGAACATTCCCTCTCCAAGGTCCTATATCACAAGGTCAAAAGCCTGCAATTATTAGGTAATGGTTGTAAAGTGGAAGCACCTAAATAAATGCAGCTTATGTAAGACTTTATACATACAGATATGCACCAGGAGCAGATCTTGGGAAATGGGGTATGGTCCCTGGTAGGCAAAGAGGTCAGAACGGAAAAAAGGATGTAAGAGAGGACAACTTGACTAAGATCTCCGAGGTCCTCAGCAGCAGAGCTGGGAAGAGATGCTAGGCACAGCCAAATCTCTGTATAACACCTTGCTTCTCCAGAACAATGTCAACCACAGTTCACATTTCGTTGTGGATGAGTGGCATGACCTTAAGCTAAATGACAGTGGGGACCAAAGCATTGATTGTCCTATTAACTGAGTATCTGTTCAAGGTTGCTAAACAGGAGGTAGGAGATATGCATCGGACCCTGATGAATGAAACACAAAAAGATACAAGCACAATCACATCCTTATTGCTGTAAAGAGATGAACTCTGTAATTATCATCTAAGAAGAAGTATCTCAAAGAGAAAACAAGAAAGGAAATTGCAGTGTATCTATTTATTTCCATAGCTACAGTATGACTGAGAACCAGTCAGCAGCCTCTGCTATTTGTAGGAGGGTTTCCCAATAAAACATACCAAAGGCACACGAAAAGGGCTTGTGTATCGTTTTCTCAACACCGAGGAACAGCCTGACAGGCAGAGTTCCCCACCCCATAAGGGACAGGATGTAAGAGCATGATTTCCTTAGAGACAGTGGGGCATAAATCACAAAGCCAGGCTCAGGGCAGGGAAAAAGAAGACACACACAAATCATTAATGATATAGGAGGAAGCTGGGATTATTGGCAATACCTCGCTGGGACGAAGAGAGGTGACATGCTAGAACAAGCAGGCTGGCAAGTGCCTGGTCTGCCAGGAATCATCATGACTCTCGTGATGCCCATTTTTCAAGCCTGCCAGTCGTAGGGGCTCAGAGTACACCAGACACCCAGGATCTAAGAGTGTGCTGTTCACATTAATGACTTTTGTATTATCACAGAGTCCTTAATAGCAGAAAGGCACAATGGTCCAAACTTACCAGTCTCTCAACCCTCTCGCTCAAGTCTCTAAACCTTCCTGAGGCCTGTCTGGACAACTCGTCATTGTACCGGATGTTGGTGATTTTCACGTTGCTGCTGTAATAGAACAGCTTCTGATCTGTAAGGGAAAGAAGAGGAACAGGCAATACTCAAAGCACCAAGGTGAATGAACTTGAGAGAAAAACCTGGGGCTGACTGATAACCAGACACCTAGGGAGTGGATGAGCCTTCACCTGTATCCAAACCATTCAAATACAGCCTCCAAAAGGACTAGGAGCCTAGGAACGAGAACTCAGTTGTTAGGTGATCTGAGCCAAATAGTGACAAAAAGCCCAGTTTCCCTGTTAGGTTTGTGGCCAACCAACACACAGGATCCTTGGGCTCACACAGGATCACAAGTTGCAACTTGATTGCTACTTTCATTCCTGGCCTGACTGCCCTCTCAATGCCAAGCTCTAGCAGGCAGTTGCTGGTGATCAGGGCAGGGGAAGAGAGAAACAGCACAGGTAGAGACAAGTGGAAGGCTCTGCTTGTTACTCGCGCAAGGGAGACCAGAAGACTTGTGTGTTGACCTCATCACAGAAGTAGATCATGACGAAGATCTGCAAGGAGTGAAAGCAGGTGAAAGCCAACAGAAACTGTAGCCCTAAACCACCCTGTACAGCAGGAAATCTTCCTAAGAGATCTGCAAAGATGCTAAATGAGAAAGAAAAGAGAGCTCTAGAGAAACGGGTGGACTTTCCCCAAATGAGCTTTAGACAGACTGATGAAAAGCAAACTCTCAGCAGTGTGAGGCACAACAAGCACAAAGGAAATGCACTAAACATAGGAACCGTGCTACACTACACAAAACTCACCATATGCCAGAAAATAAACTAGAAGACCAACGGTGATAGCTGCTGCCACTGCTGTTCCAATAACAATTAGAGCAATTTTCCAGGGCTCAAGATGTCTTATTTTGATCACTGGTTCATGAATTCTGGGGGAAAATAAGAAGAAAGGGAGAAGATTAATAAGAGATCCTTTTCTGTTTAACAGCTCCCAAACATGAAGCTAAAGTTTTCTTCCCAATACCTGCTGATTCTTCCAGCAGTATTAATTCACCCAACACCCTTAAAAATGAAACCATGACTCAAGACTACTTTGAAATAGATGGTGGGATATGCTAGAAGTCACAAAACACAGAAAGGTTTGGGGGGTTTTGGTTATTTATTTCTTTTTTATTTATTAGGTCTAAATTATATATGAGTCCCACTGAATACTTATGGAAATTTTCAAAAATAAAACTTTTCCTAATCTAGGTGAACTGTCATACAACACTGTAGGCAGCTTTCAATCGGTTAAATGAATCAGTTATCACTGACACAGTGGCATCTTCCTCCCAAAACTGCTTTGTGCAATAAAATTGGTAAAAAAGCATCTCATAAAATTATAGAATGGATTAGGTTGTAAGGGACCCTCCCTAGGTATCATCAAATCCAACCTCCCTGACATGGGCAACTAAACTAGTTTGCTCAAGGCCTCATCCAACCTGGCCTTGAACACCTTCAGGGAGAGGGTATTCACAGCCTCTCTGAGCAATCTATTCCAGAGCCTTGCCACCCTTGTACTGAGGAACTTCTTCCTAAGACCCAGTCTAAACCTACTCTCCTTCAGTTTAAAACCATTTCCCCTCGTCCTGTCGCTGCACACTCTAGTGAAAAGCCCCTCTCCAGCCTTCCTGCAGGTCCCCTTCAGGTACTGGAAGGCAGTTATAAGGGCCCCCAGAGTCTTCTCTTCTCAGGGTTGAACAATCCCAGTGCCCTCAGCCTATCTCATGCTTTTTATAGTACATATCTATACATTATGCAGGCTGCCTAATCCATTTGAGCCTGCAAAGCAGGGTTAGACAAAAAAGGGAAAGAGATTTCAGCGGACACTTCTTGCTGTAAATATAAAAGCAAATGGCAATCAGTGCTTTAAGCAGTATTTGCTGAAGAGATGGGATGACATGGAAGGGCAAGGGACATGTGGGTGGACCAAAGAACATCAGTAGAAAGCCTCACCAGATCCTTCTCTCTGCCATGCTCTTAATTACACAGGTGCTAATCCAAATTAACTCCAGGGAAGTCAACAGTCAGTAGGTCAGAACAGCTGGACAAAAACTGCCTGAAAAAGGTTACTTACAGCAGATTCTGCTTTTGGCTGTAAACTTAAAGACCATTAAAGAAGACCATCTGAAGACCATTAAAGCTATTTTTCTGTTATGTTATCAGCCATTACAAAATACAGATCAGGAAGCCACAAATTTTGGCGAAGAGCTCTTTATTCTAGAGGCAGCCACTGCAGTCATGCAAGACACACTCCCCTTCAGGTTAAGGTACAGCCTCCCCCAGGAAAGCAGGCTGCAGGGTTCCTCTCCTGGGATCTCCAGTGCATTCCTGGGCTCATAAAAAAGTACATGTAGCGCAACCCCAGGACTCATATCTCATGAGCCATAAGTTTAAATATATTAAAATAAGTTGAAAATACTTGCAAGCGACCAACAGCAAGCACACTGTGTACTGTATACAAATATGAAAGCAGGTTTGATATATCGTTCTAATTTCATTGTAAAGCCTTACAATTACACCCATATTACTTCAGCTTGGAAAACAGCTGATTCAGGCTAAATATTGTGACCTTTGATTGAATGAAAATAGGAATACTCATTTGTCACTCATATCTGTTCTGATTTGTTGTGGATCTCTGACCTCTTGTTTCTTTCAATCCTGCTATCCTCTAAAACAGCTATTAATTAACTTGTCATCTCATCTGGTTTGCTTAAAAATTCATTTGTGAATCCATAGCATAAAGAAAAAAAAAAAAAGGATGGAAATTAAACAATCCTGTTAAGTGTTTAGAGATGAGTAGCTCCAAAGTTATTTCTGAGATTACTGTATGGAAGTTGCCTTCAGACTTTAACTGGAGAAATTAAAAATACACAGGTATAAATACTCAGGACTCTACCTCATTAAGAAGAATATCTCTAAATAGTAGCTCTGAGGTGAAACCATTAAGTCAGCAGCGAGTTCATCTTTAATTTGTCATGTGAGTTTGTTGGTTGTTTTTTTTCCCCCACTCCAGCTAGCAGTGTTTTGCATGGCTTATGTGCTTCACAAATGTTTCTACTACAGTGAGACTAAGTCACAAGAAAAGCCAACAAAACAACCAAAAGTCCACATTTAACTTGACACAACCTACTCACAGTCATCCTTGACAATACTCTCATTTTTAAAAGCTTGATTAAGATTAAAAAGTCTTGGTTAGGCTGCACTGAAGGAAAAACGCTCAGAAGGTCTTTCAGCTGCAATGATCCTGGCAAAGCCCCAAACCAAAATGCTGGGTTTGAGAAGCCCATTTGAAAGGCTGGATGCCACCGCCACACCGCAGTGGTTGAGCCTGAAGAAATTACTGCCTATCACATCAGTGAACAAGCGGTTTCAGACCAGAAGTAACAGGGCTGGCACACAGTTAAATATTGAGTACTAGATCTTGGAAACCTTTTTAGTATTCTTTTATACATAGTATAACAATTTTTATAACTCTTATTCTTTATTTCTTCCTTTCCAAGTTCCATGTTATCGTTTAGCAAATAGAAACCCCAGTCCACAACATTTACTCACACTTGTAAGTTTACTCACACACGTGACTTTCACTTAATTCATGAAACCTGTTTGAGAGCATCATTTTAAAGAGGTGTAGAGGGGACTCAGCATCAGCTTCTAAGCTTAATTTCCTCAGACAAGATAAATACATCTTAGAAAGTAACTTAATAGAAGGGATGTGGGCTCTTTTGGGACTTGGGATGTCTTTTTTTTCCCCTTTTTTTCTGAATAAACTTTCCCCCTTCCTTTTAAATTACAACATGAAATGACTGTGAAGCTTTACTCTCCACTCCTAATTGGTTTTGAAAATAAAAATTGGTGTTCAAAACAAAAGGCTTTTCTTGAACACAATGTCCTTGGTTAGGCTGTACTATCTGAATACTTCCCCATTTGAATAGATGTGCAGACTGAGAACACCAGGAGGATTTCAAATCCAGATTTTTAAAGATATCTGTGAGACAAAACAACAAAGATTTCTAGGCTGATACTTTCCCATTCCAAATTACTTTGAGGTCTATTGCTGTCTCCTGATGTTCATTCCTCAAAGATCAATTATTTCATCTGACTACATGCTCTATTGTGAAAAGCTGGACAATGCTTAGAGGGATTCAATACACACTAGAGAACTCACTATCCCAGAACTGAAACAGTTTTGATCGACATGATGATCCACCAGTGCTTTTCTTGGGTGTTACCTGATCATGAGAAGGGGAACAGGGAGCGTAACCTAAAAATGCACAGCAGGATTAAAAAACACTCCAGCTGAGAAGGTAAATGAAGTCCTCCAAAGTAGAAATGGAGATTTTAAGCCTGAACCAAATACCAGCTGATGGCCTCCTACTGAACTCAATGGGCTTTCTGTCAGGGTCCCTTCTGCCTGTAGCCTACATGGTTGTCCCCTCTACCCTAGATACTCTGCCCTCTCCCAGGCAACCATGCCAGTGCAGAAATCTTAAATACACTGCAATCAGGGATTGGATTTCACCTCTCGGCAGGAGACTGACAAATCCCAGATATAAGATTTGCCTGATTAAGAAAAGAGGTGAAATATTTGCTGACAAAGAGGAACAACAAAAAACTGATATAAACCTGCCCACGCTGACATAACAGTTTTACTTAGTTGTCCTCTCTGTTGCCTAATAATTCCTAGCACTGTCTTGGCTTTTTCAACTGCCATTCAGCTGGCATTTTCCTAGAAATACCCATGGAGACCTTTCCCAAATAGGTGATTATGTAGTAGGCGATTTGGAGCCCAGCATTCTGTACTTCAGTTCACACCCATCATGAGCACAAAGAAGCCCCCCAGGAACCCTTTCCTCAAGGAGCTCACACCAAACCAGAGGGATCCCTCTTACGCATTTTACGTGGCAGACATAAGAAGGACACAGCTAATTATGTCTGTTGACTCTAAGTAACATAGGAGTATTGGGGGAAAAACAAAAAAATCAGCCTCAAAGAAAAATGAAAAATCTAAAATCTCTACTTTTTTTTTTTTCAGTAAATGTATCATAAATATCACATTAAATAAACCATGCATGGATTTGCCTCACTGCAGCCTAAAACTGTTAGTTCACAAAAGAAATGAGAGTGTCTTTTATGTCTTGGAATTTAGATTCACTTGCAAAGAAGCAGAATTAAAACCATGGTCTCTAAGTCAAACGGCCTGCTTCAGAGGAAAAGCCTCACAGGTCTTCCTCAGTGGGGCGGAATGCATGTTCTGACAGCTGTGGGAACCCCTCCATTACCTGCAGTGAGTTTCATATCAGACAGTGCCCAGCCAAGTCAGCATGCACCACGCCGTGAGAGAGAGCGCAGGCTCTGCTTTGGCACGCACGCACGCACGGTGTCTGCTGGAGAAAGGTGCTGACAGGACAGCCCAGCAGCCAAGCCCAAACCAGTCACCTAGAGATGATCTCTTGTGGGCTATTAAATGCCCTTTGTTTTTAGTCCTGTAAGGGAGGCATGCTTAGACAGACAAATATTCTCCACAATTTTAGAATGTGTGGTACTTCTCTCTCATTAAGGTGCTGTGAGAAAAAAAAAATGGATTAAGAAGTGTCAGCCTTAGCAATAAGTGTAATATATAAATACACACCTCACAGGACAGTGATGGTGTTTTAATCTGTTTATTGATCTATGAAATGTCACCACAGAACAACTATATTTAGATCACTCCTTGAGAGTTCTGTAAGTCTGATACAACAGACCAGCCCTTCTGCCTTCCTGATAGTTTATGTGCATCTGTGACAGCTTATATCCATGGAGAATCTGACCCAAATTATCTAGCGTTTCCTGTAGTATAGAAATATAGATTTCTGGCTGAATAATTAATTTTTCCTTCTTTTACATTTTA